TAAGGACTTTTTGTTATATTCTAGTTGATGTGTATCTATCCAAGTTGAGATTCAATTGTTATCTTAAAGAATTGGACCACCGTCTGCCCCCTTCTCACTAATGCTTGCAACCTTGTTCTTAAAGGTCTCCTAATAAACTATGCTTAGGCATATATTATAGGTCTCAGATATATAAAAAAAACATATCTATGAAGTGTTTTGCTCAAAATACCAAACGGATCACCAATTCTAGTCATGCCCTTATACCCCTCTATTTCAGCCCTGTTAGAGAAGTGCTGAATACGGGTCCGTAGCTTTATTAAAAGTATTGTTATATCCTGCTTCTTTACACATACTCTCTCCAGTACAGCGTTAGCTCTGAGTGTTAGCGGTGCTTGCTAATGTAAACACGGACCATATTACTTCCAAAACACGCATTGTTTCTGATAGCGACGTTTCTGATAGGGCCGTAGGTGGCCAGCCCACATTTTCGATATTACGTCATATCGGACGCAAATCTGGATCAGCTCCGTTGTACCCCCGTTTTTAGAGATGTGGGTAAGGAGGAAAAGAGAGAGGGTTGTATTTTCGGACACTTTGTGAGTCTACTGACACACCAGGGACACATATCTATGTATAAAAGACATCAAAAAGTGCATTTTGTATGATCGGGGGGACCTTTAATGCCTTCACAATGACAAATGTATTTGAAAATGTCCCTTTGTGTGCCAATATTGTCTCACAGCATTTTTGTTTGCCTTTTTTCTTCTTATCCAGAGTTAAACACAGGTCAGATCCAGGAGGGAGTGGGAGAGGCCATCAATGGGATTGTGAAACACTTCCACAAGCCGGAGAAGGAGGTGAGAGACGCAAGTCTAGACGGGCCCCAACATGTAGTTCTATTATTCATCACAAATGATGAAAAGCTGCTTAATGCTCTGGTGGTTCCAAAGCCCCTCTGTTAGTGTGGGCTACGTGGAGGGTTCACATTGTTGAAACATATTAAAGAAGACTGGTTTCAGAAAGAAGACATTTTACTTGATCCCTTTTCTTAAAGGCATACAAATATTTGTTTCTGTCATGAGGGCACTGATAATCACACTAACCATGATAATTACTACATATTAAGGCACAAAGGATGATTATTATAATTCAGAGGATACCAATTGTGACTGCTGATTATAGTTTTTACTATTTATTCATTGTGAAGGCAAGGTACAAAGTATTCTTACAGGGAAATCCCCCTCACTCTTCTTTACTCCACCTATTTACAGAATATTGAAGAGAGATTTGATTTTAGTGAACATAACTGGATCGAAGAAGCCATCAAATATTGAGTCTAGTTGTCATATTTATCAGAAAACACCACATTATTATCAGTTCTGACTTTTGTTCTTTCTCTCCACAGAGAGGCAGTCTGACCCTTCTCCTCTGCGGGGAGTACGGCCTCGTCTGGGCTCTGGAGCAAGTTTTTCAACATGGTTTTAAATCCCCCCGACTCTTTAAGAACATTTTCATCTGGGACCTCTTAGGTAAAGACTTAATGTCATTACTCACTTACAGTATATTACTTAAGCCATAATGTGATATTCCTTCCAAAACCTAAATTTTTGTGTTATCAAACATTGTTTAGATTTCTTAACATTTAAGTATCACTATAGAAACTGATTTGTCATTTAAACTGAAGTTTCTGTACTTTAACAGAAAAGTCACAAGTGTACTTTGAAAGTGCGGAGCAGCGGGAGGCGACACCAGATGAAAACTGGCAAACCCGAGTGCGTCACTTCAGCCGCTTCATGCGCGCCATCAACAACACCTCCAGAAACATCGGCAAGGACGGGAAGTTCCAGATGCTCGTCTGTCTGGGGGCAAGGTATGTCCACAGACTCATATTTAGATCAAGTGGATTTTTTTTTATATTGTTAAAGGAAGTTTAGTCTTCAGGATAGATGCGTTGAAACCTGCATACTAAACCCAATACTAAGGCTCCAGAGTTCCCCTCCTGAGAATACTAAAGACTTTGGGGTGTTTGGGTAGCAGGTATTAATGGTGATTATAGACACGTCAGCATCGTAACCCCTTAATGCGCAACCATAAATCAAGCTTCAGCTTCAAAGACACTAATCAATCTGTCTTGCTGAAATGTCTTTGGTTACATCACTGAACCCCTAAGTGATGTGCATGCTTCGCTCCGTATGTGACACATCATCCTGACGGGCAAGGAGTCAAACAAAAAGTATTTCTCCTTTAAATGATTCTAGATATTTAATTGTTTTTCTTAAGATCTTCCTGTGTTGAAGATGGTTCTGTGTATTGTAGGTGTAGTGATGCAGTGCTTTTACCATGTTTCTATATATGACCCCTCTGTTCAAAATAGTTGTACTGCAGCAATTTCTTAATCAATATTCAATAGTGAAAAAATGTATGGCCAACCATTTAGATACGAGATGAGTTATTTTCATCTTTTAAGTCGATAATACTTGACAATCCTCTGCTTAATACAATTGTTTTGGAATGTTGGTAATACAACAGAAGGTAATTTGAAGAAAAGGATTCAACCATCATGAAAATAATCGTTTATTGCAGCACCATATATTTCAACAGGCCTTTTAAAGACATTTTTAAATACAGATGAATATTCTTCACATTGATATTAGCTTTATGATATAATGATAATATGATATTAACACTCTCATAGTTCTAAATTGTTATATATTGAAAAGTTGCAACAGGCAATACATGTTGGAAGTCTCCAGTGTTTTTCTGTTATGTTGAATCCACACACGTCTTCTTCTCTCAGGGATCACTTGCTGCATCATTGGATCGCTCTGCTCGCAGACTGTCCAATCACGGCTCAGATGTATGAAGACACCGCTCTGATGAAGGACCTCTCGTTGGTAAACTCTCTCATTAGAGTACTACAGACTCTGCAGGAGTTCAACATCACCCTGGAGGCTTCACTTGTCAAAGGTGTTGGTATCTAAAACAAACCAACTCCCCACCAGGACGATCACTGGGGACCACTAAAAAGAGTAACTGAACCTTTTTTATGCAGGAAAAGACTTGAACAAAAGACATTTTCTGGCTTATATTAAAGCTACTGTTACATTTGCCATATATTAAGTGCAATGAGCCTTTCAAGATATGTTGTCATTTTTATCCTTGATGATGTGGCCATTAGATGTTAAAAATATGTTTTCTATTATGAACCATCCTTTTCACATTATTGACAATGACCTACTTGTGCTATAATGTTTTACTGAAAGCAAAATATTTTCATTTTTATCGTGAACTGCTGACAATGGAAATATTTGAAGGAAAGCAACGATCAAAACTGTTAATATATTTTCAGAGAATAAAAGTATTATTTTGTTAAATCAGTGAAGTTGCTTGCCCTGTTGTCAACTCAGATTCAAATGTCATAACACAGAGCTTAAAGCAAATGATGTAGAAGTATGCTTTATAAGTAAGTATGTGTTTGACAGGGGGTTTGTAGTGTAGAAAATGATTTATCTACATGTAAACAAAAAGGCTGTTACATTTGGGCTTTCCTTGAGAAATGTACTAGTGTGCAGATGTTTAACATGGAATACCTATAGCAGAGAAAATCATCCTTTTTGCATGATAAAAAGACTGTGTGGATTAACCCTGCATCCAGTGATGACCAGTGTATTCAGCTGGATGAGGAAAGTACCCCAAGTCTTTTGGCTTTTTGTGTTTGTAAAACAAGTCCTCGAAGACACGCTTGAACCATTTTTCTGTGCAAAGTTGATCACAATGAAAGCCTTCATGTAAATACCTTCAACCCTTTCCTCCATCATCATCCCAGCTCTCACACTACGTCTGCCCTGTTCTCTGAATAAAAACAGTGTCGTGATCTCTGTCCACTCTTCGTGATGAAGGATGATCTCCTGCTTCACATGTGAGGAGGAAAAAGGACAGCTCCTTCCCGCTCCTGATTTTGTCATCATGGTTTCTTGCTATGCAATATCCACAACAGAAAATTCAACCCTCCTACAAACTCCATACCGGGGTGTCTTGACGTGTTAACGGGCCCTTCTCCGTTACATACTTTGAACTGTGCAGAACAAGAGATTTAATATGTGAAGGACTTATTTTCTGTGCCAACAATGTCTGGAATAACTGTGTTGTACTCGTCTGTGTACGACCCACACATGAGCATCTTGGGAGATATATATTTTTGTTTTCCAATACTGTTGTACATTTATTGAAATAGCTGTGTAATGTAGTGTTTACTAAGTGAGCAACAGTGTACAGTGTAAAAATATATTAAGAATAAAGCATCATTAATGCATTCAAGTGGATTAAATTGTATAAGAGTCAACCAGTTTTTCATGAATAGATTTAAGTTCTACATGTGCCTTCTCATCTGAAAAAAAAGTGGTTCAAAAAATGCACATGCCGACTGTAAATAAAATATACTAAATTGTTTGGATAAAACCATTGGACAAAACAAGCTAAATTGATATGTGAAGCTTCAAAACAATGATGATTTTGTAATCTTTTTCTTCGATTTATTTGAACAAACAAGTCATCAAATAATTATAATAACTAAGTTCTAATGTGAACCCTAAATCAAATGTTCTCTAAAGTTTGTCTTCAAAAGCAAAATATCCCATAAAATAAAAAAACTAACTAGTGCCAATCTAATTATAGTCACTTTTGTGTCAAATAATTCAGTTGAAAAGTAACACACCGATTTAACCGTATAAACGCTGTTGAATGCGCTTTCTCAGCTGAGAACATGTAAACAAACTCGTTCGCGCCATGTCATATAGCTGTGCTTCTTTAAAGCCTTCAACCAGGGGGTTTATGGGATTTTGAGTTTAAGGGAAAGCAGCTAACAACTGTGACGGCACAAAGATCTCCCGCTCATTTACTACGCTTCCCGTCATTCATATCGTGTGAAGAGTACCGAGGACAGCAGCGATTGGTTAAACCCAGGTTCAAACCCAACGGCTGCACTCCTTATATGGTCATTGTACACCCGGCCCTTTCATTCATGCTAATGATATTCTAATAGACAGCTGTATGCAGTTGTAGTAAGAGCATGCGCAGTGCGTTCCAAGAATACGGCGAAGATTCAAAGTTTTTGTTCAGTAAGTGCAATTTTATTTCTCTTGTAAAGGAATGATATTTGTAGTATTTTGCTGGTTTTTTATATGCGAAGAGACTGATGGTATGGTGGTGTGGTCGTAGCTTGACGTGAGCGTGTGCAGCTAAATGTGTAAAGACTAACCGACAATGGGATAACATGGAAGTGAACGAGAGCGTGGCGTGGTAATGGTAGCTACGTCGGCTAGCTAGCATGCTAACAGCTAACAACAATGAACCGTATCTGCCGCTCTAGCGGGCAAAAGTTTGAATTTAAAGGGAATGATGTATTCATTGTAACTTATCTGTATTTTATTATAATCCCGACAACATACACGAATTGCACTAAGTTGGGGATTGTGTGTTATTCGGACACGGCGTGTTACACATATTTCAGCCCCGGTAGCTTTTTGTTTCTTCACTTCAGAAAGCGCTGCTGCTGCCCGCTTTTTGTTTCGAGTTTCCCGTACAAACAAATCCTCAACTGAGCAGTATGTTAGACCAACCATTTTAATTGTTTTGAGAATGATAAATAATCAACATTTCCAATGTACTGGCTGTTGTTCCGAAAAGTAACATAAGAACCAGTTACCGTAGTAAAGCGCTATGTTGTGGGTGTGGAACGCTTACCGTGTGGTGTGAATGTGTGTAACGTTTGGGAGCCTGCATCCGTTGCTACCGCACCAAATGTAACACGATTGGTACTTACGTTTTTTTAATTCAACACAACTTAGTAAGTTTTAAGCGTTTATGAAATGTTAGTGTTGTATTTTTTGTTGTTTTGGTGTTCCCGCTACTTTGCTTTGAATTCCATAAAATAGTTCGACGTTTTTCTTTAGCAAAACGCTAGTTCAGTTGTCAATGAACCTCAAATACAACATACTGCTACCTCAAATGTGAGTTTCATACAATATTTGTGTTAAAAAATGATGCGTTAAGAGTGGTTTTGTTTATCTGTATGTGTAGGGACCGCCCCCTTCTCGGTAGTAGAAAGCACAACTGACTGCACCCACGGTGATATTACAAAGAGATTTAACGATCGTTCTGGTTTACTTTTCCAGATTACTGCCATAACCAACCAACAAACGTAATATGTTTGGCTTTCACAAGTCAAAGATCTACCGGAGTAACGAAGGCTGTTGCATCTGCAAGACCAAGTCCTCCAGCTCACGCTTCACAGACAGCAGTCGATATGAAGAGACATTCGAGCTCTGTTTTGGGTAAAAGCTCTCATTCATTCAATGTTTGGTTGTATTGTGTCATCCTGTTTTCCCTTTCATTGTGTACATTAATAAAATAGGAATTTGGGTGACAAGTTTTAAGCAATACCACTTTATTACTTTTTTTAAAGGCTGTCAGAAGATCGTGTTGGAGACATTTGCAATGCCTGTGTGTTGCTGGTGAAGAGGTGGAAGAAGTTACCAAATGGCTCCAAGAAAAACTGGAATCATGTAAGTCTCGTCTGCTAAGAGTAATGAGAATCAAATGTGTCCGACTGTCACAAGAAGGCTTTATATTGACCTGATGTTTCACCTGACCTGGCTCAGGTGGTGGATGCAAGAGCTGGACCAGGCTTCAAGATGACCAAACCCAAGAAGATCAAGAACAGTGATGGGAAGAAGAAAAGCAAGCTAAAGAAGCTCCACAAGTTAAAGAGACTAAGTAAGTTGTTTTAAATATATTAGCTTATAACATGCATGTGTTGTGAGATTCTTTTGGGTGATATAAATAGATTTGAAACTCGCCAGATATGGAATATTTGTTGACAAAAATACAAGGGCATGTTCAACGAAAAAAATTGTGCTATATCAAAATGACACAATGCATGCAATCTCACTCTATGTAAACCTTGGGTGTGTTATGGATGTCTGTTTAGCTGGGCCAAAAATCACTGCTTTAGCAGCATCTTGTGGATCTTTGGGTTTGGTGACTAACTGATATTTTTTGGTTTTCATCTAGGCGGAAACCAATAGCCAGTTAAAAGGGGTGAATAAATGATTGATTAATTAAAGAAAACATACAGATTCTGCCTTTTCGATGTGATCTCGTTAGATGCCAACGGCAGTTTATTATTCTACCATTTTTAACCAACCTTGTTTGGGTATTGGACTGTTGTCAGACAAAACAAGCGGTTAAGATGTCTTTACATGGGTTTAAGGAATTTGTTTGGGGATTTTACTATTTTCTGATTTATTTTTTTTAGAAACAATTGTGTTAGGAAAAAATCTCCTAAATTTCTAAAAAGCATTTATTTTATTTCCCTAGCTGACTCAGATGCACTCAGCACCACCTCCAGTGTGTCTCCTGCCCAGTCCCCCAGTTACAGCAACCTATCAGATGACGGATCAGACATCGAGTCCAAACAGAGACGCCCCTCTACGTCCAGCTTCTCTTTTCTGGACCGTTCCTACTGGAAAAGGTGCGCACTCATTAATCCGATTTGAGTTTCACAAAGTAACAGGACAAATGTTTTAAGCGATTTTGCACCCTTTGAATATCATCCATAACTAAAAGTCATTCCCTTCCCCATGTTTTAGGCAAAAGGTGTGCTGTGGGATTGTCTACAAGGGGCGGTTTGGAGAGGTGATAATTGATCCTCGTCTCTTCAAACCCTGCTGCAGTTCCAAAAAACTGGCATCCACGCAAGTGGCTGCACACCTTCCAGACACACTTCCTCCACAACTGCCAGAAGTCATCAAAGAAACCTGGTGATTGCTTTTGTTGAATCCCCCTGTCGGGGTATCCATGGCATCCTCCTGGATTTGTCTCCAGTGGCAGACCTCCTAATTTCCACTCTCCCAACTAGATTAGTTATTTAGATATTTCTTTTCTATGTATTGTTCCTTTTTTATATGGGTATTTTTTAACTTTTGTATAGAGTTGATTTCTTTTCTTTTTTATAGAAAGCAAAAAGCAAAAAAAAAACGTACACGGGCATTAGTGTTATTTATAGGCTGCGGAAGCAAATTGTGTCAAGGCTCCATTTTTGATTCAAATTGTTTTGGGATATTTTGTATTAAGTGATCAATGTTTTGTAAATACTTTGTCAACTTTTCATACATATCAAGACTGTTTTATTATTTTTCATAATTTGTCTGATTGTCAGTGTGTGTATGAAAGCCACCAGCTATTCTAATACCAGCTTTTTTGTCTATGTTGAAGTGGCTCTTCAACATGTTGCTACAACGTTTTGTTTTATCCGTTTGTTCCATATGGGCGAATGTGTGAGTCTGTAGAATTGTTAGTGCACAGATAAACGGTTTGGTAGCCCAGGGATAATGATTACAACAGTCCTCTATGAATTTAATGAGCTTTTAATGTCTGTGTATAGATAAGAACATTTTGACATTGTCACATCTTGAGCATGCTACAAGTTTTAAACACTCCGTTTTGATTTTTCATCAATTGCTGGATAGATGTGGTTAGATCATGCATGCAGTACATTCCTCCGCCCTTTGAAATGACGAAAGTAATTTATTTATTTCTTTTGTAAAGCCTCCAATGAAATGAAAATGCATGTTGTAAAACAAATGGATTTTGTAAATACACAGTATTTTGGCTTCTGGTACAACCACACTTTTTTTCAACTACAGGAATAGCAAATCACTACTTCCTTGAGAGAAAAAAAATGGTGTTTGTTAGTCTGAAAGGTGCTGAAAACAAGTACTTTTACACTTAACCAGATATTGGGCTTGATCTCATCCCATCTCATTTTGTCAGACATATTTCTGTAAAGGTTTTTTCAAAGCTGTAGCCTATGCTCTTCAGAATTATGTGTAAACTGCAGGGAACAGTATATTTAATCGCAGCATCAGGGAGCTGCAATAATCCTTTTTTTGTTTGATTTCTAATGGCATGCAACGGTCAGAAACTGAACCTTTTGTTTGTTAGAGAAAATGTGATTGCCATGTATTTATCTTCAGAAGCAATTGTCAAAGTTCAAACTATGCAGACATTTTGAATGTGAGAAGTGCTCTGGGGCGGTCTATCACACCTGCTATTACAGTATCAAGTGATAGATCCTTATTCAACCAAATTGACTTGTGAACAGTATCCATTAATTTAGCAATATTTAACATTTTTCTAATCAAAATTCACAATTGTCTCAAGATATTTCTTTTGTATGTCATGTAAAAAATAATGCTCAGTTAATTGCACAGTTTAAGCCATTGTGCGTACTGTCTGAATATCATACTGTAAAGACACGGTTTCAGTTAGCTTTTTTGCATTAATGTAAGCAATACCAACTTCATGAATTGACAGGCAATGCTCTGTAAAGTTGCTTAATATATAAACTTTTCTGCGGCAGGGTAGTTAAATGCTGAACATGTTTTATCATTATAATTAAAAGGAGAAGTGCTGCTCCCTTTTAAACTGGGAAATAAGCTTGTTTTTGTCCTTAGGGAGTTGCCATATTGTTTTTGCGAGGTACATTTGGGATGTGAGGTGTGCCTTAATGAATTACCTGACCTTGTCATGATTCTCATGTAATTTATATTTATTTATTGCAAAACCTTTTTTTAAACTGACATTTTGATAACTGGTATAGAGCCTTTTCAGAAAGTCTTTTTAATTGTGTGCACTTCCTTCGAACATGCAATGTAGATGTTTTTAATACTTTTTTTGTATACTGTACCACAAAGTAGATCTGTAATAAAACATAAATAAAAAGCTATATTGTGATTATTTTGTGCGCCGATAGGTGGTGCACAAGAGCTATATATAAGTAAGGCAGATATTAATCAACGAGGTAATGCACATTGAACACTGGAGCAGTTTTCTGTCGTAACACTATAGGCCTACAGGCTAATTGTGTTTTTTTTTGTATAAAATTATGCGACTCAATTAGCATTGTGGTTGGAGAAGTTCTATTATACATCTTGCATAATGTATTGATATGGCTTGCCATCTGCTACTCGAAAAATAATTGAGTCTTTACTTTCATTGTTAAGCTTCTATGTTTATTTGACCGCTGGAATTATGAACAAAGACTTGATTGACAATGAACATAGTTAAATATTTGTTTCAGTTAAACAACAAATGTGAAGATTTTAATGCTGGTGCCATGACTGCATTTTCCTTATTATACTCACTTAATTCTACTTAAGAAACATTGTATATGCAGGATTGTGTAGTGTTTTTCAAGCAAGCCTTCTTTGTGAAGGATCTTGATACTTCTTTAATCATTGCTGATTTCTGTTGACAGAACTGAGCAATGTTGAAGACAGCAGCGAGAAGAGCCCCAGCTGTGTGTAAATTCAAACGTAGTTAAATTATTATTAAGCTGCTTCTTCTGTTTATTTTAGCTGCCATATCTTTGTATTTGATGAACCTGTACAGCTAGCAACATTATTAAAATGAAAAATGTACGATCCATCAGTTCAAGCTGTTGTAAATTAGACAAGATAAACGTGGGTTGCCTAGCAACGACGTTGTTTGGCTTATTTTTATATCCATTCCTCCAGAACAATTTGACATAACTAGTTGTATTGGTAGGCTAAGTTAGCTAACCTATCACTGAATAACATCTCTCATATAATTTGTTTCGGTCTTACTATCACAGTATTTTAGCATGTACGACTTTGAAACAGATGCCAAAGGCCATGTTTACAAGTGTTCAGTAGGCTATGTAAAAGCATCACCATCACGGCACGGTCATACCTTCCATAATACAATCCTAAATGTTAGCTTACAGAGGTTGTATCACGTGACTATGTTATTACATAGGGCCTAGAAAAAAGTAGGAAGTATTTTATAATGTTTGTTTCGATTAATCATAGCCTATAAGCTATGCTGTTTTTGCTATTTTTTTAGCTGTTTGAGTAATGATAATGAGCTTTTAGAATTCATGTTTGGTTATTATACGCACCAGTCAAATAAGCCGGTGCACAAGGACATTTCCGGTCTTGCATTGGCTATTTGACCGACTTTACGCAGCTCTGATTAAAAAACAGGGCTTTTTTCACTCACATGTACGCGCACCGGCGCATGCACTCTCTTATTCTCTCTCTCTTTCTCTCTCTCTCTCTCTCTCTCTCTCTCTCTCTCTCTCTCTCACACACACACACACACACACGCACACGCACACACATTCACGCACTTACTCACTCCTTTCTCTTTTCAAAAGCCCCTTGTGAGGCAGATTGACAGGCTAGAATGAAAATGAGGCGGACGCTCAGTCACGACTTCAGTGCGTACGCGTCCTTTTGAGAAGACCTCTAAACTTGGATCATATCACCATGGGAGCTATTTGGGCTGCAAGGGACTTTTGTTTGTTTTTGCTCTTGTTAAATAGTCGCCAAAGCGCAGCGCTTCCAGAGATTCGAGGTGGGACTGTAGTGAGTGTGTGTGTGCATGTGTGTGTGTGTGTGTGTTGTGTTTTCCAGTCGTGGAGACTACTACTTTACGCACGCTTTCAGAAGTGTTTCCCCAGTGGTGACTTGTACACTTTCTGCTAGTTTTCTAAAATGTAGCTGCATACAAGTTGCCGTGGGAATGTATTTGCTCCCGGTACACATACCTTTGTAAATCACGTTTTGTTATTTATCTAACTTTTCACTTTCAGGTTCTTACTCTTTTCTAACGGCCTTCTGTAGGCTCATATATTTATTATTATAAGGGAAATTTATATTTAAGTTTGAATCAGAGTTGTGTTGTTCTCCTTCTCGAGTATAGTCCCACAAAACGTGACACACTTAAAAGATCATATGTGGCTCATATGCTATTTGTGTAAGTGGACTATTTGAGTGTGTTGGCTAGAAATGTGTTTTGGTAATCATGACCTGTACGACCCATTTGGATTTCAGCAGATCCATGTGCCGAGGGAAGTGATGGCTGTCACATTGATGCCATTTGTCAGACTACCCTAGGCTCATACAAGTGCACGTGCAGAGCAGGTTTTAAAGGAGATGGAACACACTGCGAAGGTAATGTGTTTACTTTTTTGTTGAACAGTTTGATTCCCATACATATCTGAGTGTCAAAGTGGAATCACAGAGTTTGGATGTTTGGGAATAAATGTTATAGCAGGGTGGTGTTTGGGCACATTATATGTCTGATATGCTATCTAAATGATTGTATTTACAATATCAAATCATTCTTAAATATTTTGTGGCATAGCATTTTAATTCCCAAAGGAGTATTTGATATCTGTGCTCCTTTATCTTTCCCATAACTCTTTAACACATATTGCAGTTAAGTTCTTGTTATTACTGTTCAAATACTGAAATGTTTGGATTTTAATGTTGTGGTGAGTAGGTGAACATTCATTTATGTGGTGTTTACTTCTCAGATGTAGATGAATGCGACTTTGACTACAATGGTGGCTGTGTACACGAGTGCAACAATATACCAGGAAATTATCGCTGTACTTGTTATGATGGATTCAATTTGGCACATGACGGACATAACTGTCTAGGTAAGATCAGCTTTAAACCACTGAGTAAATAACCTTTTGTGATAGACAGAGAGAGCTTCTATGGTGAAGAGTTCATGTTTGTGTGGGCTGTAAGTGAAGTTTCTCACACTCAGACTGCTTTTCTTTAGCCCCCTTTGTTAAAGTTTTAATGTGTTGCTCATGGAATGATTTAAAGGATTTGTCTGAAATGTGTTCTAAAGTAAACACTTCAATAAGCAGACTTTTTGTATTTCAATACGTTTAAAAAACAACTAATTTGTGAAAATAACATATACTTTGCCATTGTTTTGTACATGCTATTAACTAATGCAATCAATCGGCTTTCTGGTAGATGTGGATGAATGCAAGTTCAACAATGGAGGGTGCCAACACACTTGTGTTAACACCATGGGCAGCTATGAGTGCCGCTGCAAAGAAGGCTTCTTCCTCAGCGACAACCAGCACACATGCATCCACCGCTCTGTGGGTGAGTGAACAACAACATCTACTGAATCATTGAAGACATTTTGTCCCACTCCCACACATTTAAATGTGGCTTAAATATCTGACAGTTGGGAAAGTGTAGACAATGCCTAGTTCATATTTATATGTATATAATAGGTTTTGAGTTTGTGTTAGTTGTGTGAGTGGAGGCTTGTATTGCTAATTGTATTAGTTTGTGAAAGAAGACAAAGATATATCAAGTAAATTCGCAATATTCACATACAAATCTAAGATTGACGGCACAATGAGGGTTGACAGGTTCAAGCTGGCTCCCGTCACTGAGCTTTTATCTGCTGCAGCAACATGCTGTGGGAAAGGGATTTCTGTGTCCCTGAGAACAAAATAAGTTAATAACTGCAACACTCTGGTCTATGTGGTCGGTGTCACAGATTAGTCTGAAGTCTCTTTGTTTTGTCTCCTTGACTGAAGTCAACCTAAATGCAAGTGCTTTCCACTCCATCGGGTCTTGACAACCCTTTAAAATCCTGTGGACCAATCCCCTCAGCTGTGACCCATCTATATAAATGGTGATTCACCTCATCTCATGTTTTTGTGACTTTGTTATTAAAAGAGTTTGCAGGGCTTTGCTTTAATTGAATGACATTTTGAGAAACCTTTCCCTTTCCCATGCTTACATATTTACTCAGAAGTGCTCAACAATAACGCAGTGGTGGATGTTTTGGGATTTAGTTTAAGGCGTGAGAACAATCAGTGTCTTTGAGGATGCCGGACTAATCTCTCAGTGTGTGTGTGCCTTTGTGTGGAGCCGGTCAGTCACTGTAGGAGAGTTTCATTGTGCACCTCTCTCCCTCTTTCTATCCCAGAGGGTCTCAACTGTATGAATAAGGAGCACGGCTGCGCCCACATCTGCAAAGAGACACCCAAAGGAGGTGTGGCCTGCGAGTGTCGTCCAGGGTTCGAGCTGGCC